CAGTGTTCACAATGTGTTATTGTATTTAAGAGAGTAAATGTAATCGTGTATGCACATGATCAGATGATATATTCTCCCTGCAGCAGTGGTCTACAAAAGCTGCTTCCAATGTTGTGCTGACACTGACATCAGATTTAATGCGAAAAAAAGTAATGTAATTATAGGTTGATGAAGAGAGGACAGGAAGTTGCAGTTTCCTGTATTTTACATTTGTGAAGATGATCCTTATTTAAGCAGTAAAGTCAAATAGCTTGGTCACAGTTTCACAGATCACTTATTATAATATATATCAACAATGTCACTAAATTATATGCTCAGAGTAAAATGCTTCTCCACTTCCTCATCAATGTAGACAAAAGACCAAATACAACCGCTGGTTTGCTGGTCTGCCAAAGGTGAGCTTCGCTGCACAATTCTCTGCTGCAATCTGATTGGTTGTGGTTTCTTTCTGACTATTTTATTATCTGATCACACTGACATGGCATCTGGAACAACTGCTTGTTGCTAACTCTTTGTTACCAGCCTGACCCTGTTCTCTGTTAGTGGTTAATATTTAACTTGTTTGTGGCTCATGTTTAATCACTGACTGTATTGTTCACCTCCACATTATGATGTTTTGTGGTACTGTATTTAATTCCGACCATAGTTATGCATGAAGCAGGAGAAGTGAAGGAAGTGTTCCACAGCCTAAATATGTTTGTGTGAAAAGTGAAAGTCTCGTTTGGTCACCAGAGGCGAGCGCCTGGTGTGCACATAATGACACTCTTATCTCTAGGTGGAAACCAAAGCAAATAAAAGAGACATCAGCTAACCAACATATCAACTCACTGAGGAATTATGTCAGATGGACACATTCACTCCCTCTTTGTCAGTTCTCCTGTGTTGCAATGCAGATCTGACCCAAGAGCAGTTTTGTTCACACAAAGCTGTTACTGGATTATGTGGGTGTGGGGCTGATGTAATGTTTTGTTCAATGAAATGGAAACACACTTTCAGACACAAATGCATAGACAGAAACACAGACACATACCACACTTTTTTCTCCTTACCTTCCTTTATTTTCCCAAGCGCCACTGGCTACCTGGAGATACAAGGTCCCCCGAAAGTTCACCAGCTCTTACGCAGCCTCAAAGACATTTTCACCTTTTTTTTTTGTCCTGTATGCGCCACTCAGAGTGAATCAGAGCAAAGAAAAACTCCAAAAAAAACAAGGCACATTTGTTTGACAGACGCCTTCCTCCCCATATATGAAGTCATCCCCCTACATGTGGTATCGAAGAGGAAGATCTCTCCAAACTGAGGTCATGAGAAGTGTATTTTGATTGAATGCCATAATTCCCACACCCAAAATGAAGTCATGTGGTGGGATTCAGTGAGGAAGAGGTTTGTTATGATTTCACTCTGTATATATAATGCCCACAGGACGGTGGTCCTGTCTGGGCCCACTGGGGGCTGCGGTTGTTCTGAATCATAGTAGAAATGTGGGCTCGTTGAAGTAGCTGCCATTCCTGCATTTATATGTTGTGATGAGAATGGATAGCACTCAGATTTAATTAATTTAAGATGGGTGATAAAATGTTGCTGTGAGAATTGAGCTCTGTGATCCAGCTGCAAGGAAGCTCCACTGTAAATCTTTGTTGAAGGTTTTCTCAAAGGAAACACGAGAAAAGACAATATGATGTCTGGGAATGTAATTTATGATGTTGTAAACTAGTCTTGTCAGCTGGTGACGTAACACACATCGCTTTTATAATTTTTTTTCAACACAGGTTTCTCAGCATTACCTTGTCGCCACATGCCCCCCCGCCCCCTACCCCCCCAGCAAAGTAATGCGGTCCCAACAGTCGTGTCTGTCGTCAAAACACTCACACAACATTAGCAACTCTCTGTTCACTTTCTTTTTTCTTTTCACTTTTTCAGACATCACCTCAGCTCTCCCGGGTCTTTTTCAGTTTTGGGTGCGCTGACAGATGCTAATGAGCTGTCCAAGCAGTGGGAGATTAGACAAGGCCTAGACAACAGGGAACATGGTGTTCCTGGCCTGAAGCCATAAAAGGGACTAAAGAGGGGTTTGAGCAAAAGGGGATGGAGGCCAAAGAAAAATGATGAAGAAAAAGTCAGGGATGTGTAAACAGGAGTGACAGGACACAAGTTTGTCTTTATAGCAATGTTTATGCTCGAGGCCACCTGTAGCCTATATAGCACAGCATTTTAAACACTTGTCATGTTGTGACGTGTTGGGAAATTATTTTCTTTGCATATAGTTAGATATCTGTATGTTAAAAAATATGAAGCTAGAGTCAGCAGGTAGATAGCTTAATTTAGCATAGACTGGAAGCAGGTGGAAACAGCTAGCCGTCAGGCAACCAGGAATTTTATGATGGATTATGTAAATGAACGATATGTCTTATAAGTAGTGAGCACGTGCTGGTTACCTTCGAATAGAGCTGTTTTTTCCTTGTTTCAGTGTTTGTGCTCAGTCTCCAGCTACATATTTAGCATGCAAATATGAGAGTGGTGGGATACTAATCTTCTCATCTAACCCGCAGCAGACCACCCTCAGTTATTTGGCACCAAAACCTCCAGATTTGCAAATAATTTCCCCCGAGCCATGACTGACAGGATCTTAGTTTTTGGTTTTATCTGTCACAAAACACACAGCACACAGGAAACAATGGTCATATTTGCAGATTTATTTTATTTTTTGCCACACTACACAGTAAGAAAACTACAGTGTCAGACTCTGGCTCATATAACACACAAGTGCCACAGAACACCAAACATCCTATAGTAAATTGTCCTAAAAAGGCAGACAAATCTCCACAGTACCACAGAAATACCACAACACATGTATCACAGGAACACAATGATTACCACAGGAATTTCAATGTTGAAGTACCACAACTTCTTTTATGTGGGACTGTACCATAGGATTTTTTTTTGTAAGGTTGACAGACAAGTATGTCTAATTAGGGTTTGGATTTCCATTTGCGAGCACAGTAATAGTGTCCTGTCTAAAATGATAAATGTACATAATATTGTGTTTATAAAAAGAATCAAAATGACATCATACAACAATTTTACTCAGTCTATTCCAAATAAATCAGCCCTGCTTACACCTAACTTTCATACTATGTCTCCCTCCAAACTACTCTTGTATTTCATTAGGACAAAAAAATATAAACGTTTATTTGATCAGTTTTACTATTACCTATTCAGTAGAATACGATATTGCTATAGTAAAAAAACTTGAATTTCCAATGAAATCCAATCATTATAGTATACATCTGGTTTCACTTTCTGGGCAGTTAACCCTGTTGAACTTGTTACAGCATCCATAACATACCAAATAATAATACTCAACATTGAATTATCATCATAGCAGAGGTTGAATTTACTGTAGACATCTCATCTCTTTGTGGTTTCTGCGTTTATTGATGTTACTCTGTTCGTCTAAATTGGCTTGGAAATTATATACTCTTAAGTATTTCTGTCTTTGTTTTTCTTCTGATGTTTCAGTTAAAGAGATGACTTACCATCTCAGAAATGTTAATTACTTATGTTTCATTTCCTGTTTTTGCTGATCACACACTATAGAGTTGCTTGGAGGAAGTGACTTTCTGACGCCATCCTGTGTTCAGATGGTAACATAGTTTTGTCTCCCAAGAAACTAAGCAGTTCCGTTGACCATATGACTATAAACCTTCCGTTGAAAATGCACCACCCGAGTTTACTTTTTCAACTGACTCTAATACACTTAAATGCGGAAAAGTCATTAAACATGCTAATATTTTAATATCATGCATGATCCATTTTAAAGGAGTTCTTTGAGTTCTTCTTTTTGTGTCTTTACCTGTTGCCGTTATCTTTAACAACAACAGCAGCATGCTCCTACGCTGCAGGCTTGATTTCATCTACTACTCCTACTATTGTAGATATATTGTGTGGTTTTCAGTTTTATCTTTCAACCTATATATTAATGGTGTTATAATCATAGCTGGAATGATCATCAAAGGGTTATTATGTGCCATATAACGTTTTGGCTGTAAGGTGAGACAATGCTGAGGATCTATTCATGATTTTCTACATCCCATGCTGTCTTTTATACAAATTAAACAAACTGTGAAGGAGGTGACTTTGCAGAAACCTCTCCATAGCAGCAGACCGGTCTGAAGCGCTCTTCCAAGGTCAGCCACGGCAGGAGACAGAGCTGCCACTCATCTGCCAAACCCTGCAGGGGGAGAGTATTTCCATCTCAAGCTCTGACACCCTTGACCCAGTGTGGGTTGTGAGCAAAGCCAGGAGACCACAGGGCCGCAGGGTCTCTTCCAAACAACAGCTGTGCATCATCAAGCACGACAAAACACTTAGATAATGAATTTCTGCCCTGCAGTGGACTATAGGCACCCAGACAGCTCATCAGTTTTAAGTGAGAGGTTTCAATTAGTTCAACATCATGGAGATGTCAAAAGCTAAATTTACAGCCCTATAGTGACAGTGGGACTAGGGGATATTGTATGTTTACAAGCCTGAGTGGGCATCATGCTTAATAATGACCCAGTCTCTGTCTTCTTATAAATGTCTGCATTATATGGCCTATTATTAATAGCTGCACTCTTGTTCATTGTGTCCGTGTAATGTGGATATAAAGCTTAATTTACAATGTGGCTCTACTGTCAGAAAAAGGCCTCTATTTTCAATGTAAAAAAGTTTTTTACATACGGATGTTTCATGTTGTTCATGTTAATAGAGGAAACATCACAAAAACAAATAACGACACTATGATTTGGTATTCAAAGACTACATGAGCCAGTACTGCTTTTTATAGACTGACTGTAAATAAGTTCATCATTGAATCGTCGCCCTCTTTTGACTGTGACGCAGCATTACACCAACAATTAACGGATTTTCAAGGGCAACGTAAAATCCCGCCTACTTCCATTTGATTGGTCAAGGTTACCATTCTCGCAAGCTGATTGGATACTTGCACGTCAATTCAATGACGAATGCGGATGTTTAAGGTAGGAACGCTAGACCGGTGAGAAACGTGGGTAAACTCTAATGTATTTCCACCTCTGTGTGCTCATTCCGTTGTTTGTAGTTCGTTCTCAGTCTTATCTCGGTTTTTAGAAGCTAATGTGAAGTGTTCCTTATACATTCAGGCTTTTACCACGGGCTCTGCTCAAGGTGTTTGGACTAAGAGCTAACATTAGCTGCAAATGCTAATAAATGTGTGAGAGTGTCCCATCTCAGTGTAACGTCAACAACAGTGAGCTGTTCGCTTTTAAATTGCTGGACTGTTTGTCGCTGTCATCCCGACATGCCACTGATATATTGTTGAATTGTTTTGCAGCTAATTTTATTTGTGTGTAGTAATGCACAAATCGTAATTATGCCGATTTAATTACTGCTAATTAGACTGAGTGGTAGCAGCAGTTAAAATGTAAACAGTCTCATCTATGGACGTATTTTTAAAAGGTGTTGTGAAAGAATAGGTATCCTGCATTTTGTCTTTTAATTTAGTCATTTAGTCTTCTGTTGGACCACCACTAGGTGGCGGACGAGCTCATATTATAAGACAGCAACATAAAAGCTCTTCAGCACTAACGCCTCAGCTTAAGGCTAGACATTGGAAATCAATCCTATGACCTGATAAAGAAGTCATTGGAAGTGATAACGGTTTAGAATAGACAGGAAGTCATAGATTAATACTGTCTGTTCTGCATACTATGTGTTTGCATTGTTGTTTTTAATTTAAAGGTTAAATAAAGCCCACTCAACCACTTTGCCAAATCACAAATGATACTAAAATAAGAACAAACTCAACCATATGTACATTGCTTTTCAGCCTCTGCAATTCAAAAGGTCACTCCTGACTTTTCATAATAACTTAAGAATACTATTACTGACAGGTTATTATTACCGATATTGCCTCACACATTGCCCTTTTCAGTATTGTTGGACATTTATGCTTCTGAGCTTCTGAATTGCTTTACTGCTGAGGATCAATCATAGCTTCTCTCACCTTCTGTGTGTGTGTGTGTGTTTGTTTTTGTTCGCAGTGTTCACCTGAATGATGGCTGCCTCAGGGAAACTGGCGTCTTTCCGTCTGCCTCCCTTGCCTACTGTGGGTGAGCTGATAAAGCTGTACAAACTGCGAGCTGAGAAGCAGCTGTCCCAGAACTTTCTGTTGGACTTGAGGCTCACAGGTTAGTCTGCCTCACTCGCTCGTTCTCTTTCTTTCGCTCTATCTGCAGTGCACCAATACCCGCTTGCTCCTCTTCTTTGTTCCTATGTCTACAGTGTGCGCAAAATAGTGTGTTTTGTCAGTGCACTTGATTGCACAGCTCCACATAGCCTTGTTTCGTGGCATTGAAACCGACAGGCTTTTCTGTATGGGTGAGGTTGAGTAGATCTGCTGCTAATGTGAATGAACCAAGTCAATTGTTTGCAGTCCTTGCGGAGCTTGAGCCTTAATATAATTATCAGTGATGCAGTGCAGGTCTGATCTGCTCTCCTGTCCTTGGACAAGGTGACTTGTTAGATTAATGCATCTCATCTTCATCACACAGAGGCAGACAGGTATTGCAACCTCACACACTATTAATCTCAATTTCGGTACCCAAGACTCCGATATGGCCATTTGATTGGAGAGTATTGTGTAATTTATATGATGCATGAGTTGAACTAAGTTAGTATATAATTCACTGATTGCATGCAAAAATATTGATGAAACGCACTATTGAGTTGGTCATCCGTCTTCATCTTTTCAGACAAAATAGTGCGTCAGGCAGGCAATTTGAGGGATGCCCATGTGTGCGAGGTGGGTCCTGGTCCCGGAGGTCTCACCCGCTCCATCCTCAATGCCGGGGCGGCGGACCTGCTTGTGGTAGAGAAGGATACACGCTTCATCCCGGGGCTGAAGGTACACTGAGCGCAATGTTATCAAGGTCACTGGGTCCTTGAGCAGAGAAAGCCCTAAAACCTTCACCTGTCAGTTGCATGAAACCAGTTAATAATAATAATTGGCCACCCGTAGAGTTTGTTTGTTAATTTTTCTCATTTAATGTCATATCGCAACCATTTTCACAGCTGTTGTCCGAGGCAGCACCTGGGAAGGTGAGGATTGTCCACGGTGACATACTCACCTACAGAATGGACCGAGGATTCCCATCAAATATCTCCAAACCATGGGAGGAAGGTGAGATTGTGAAATCGTGCGAGCTGTTACGGTGGTTCTGTGCAGTAAATGCATGGACTGAACTGAACTGTGCACCACTGTGTGTGGTTCCACAGATCCACCAAACCTTCACATCATAGGGAATCTCCCATTCAATGTCTCGACCCCCCTCATCATCCAGTGGATGGAGAACATAGCTAACAGAACAGGGCCCTTCGTCTACGGACGCACCCGACTCACACTCACTTTCCAGAAAGAGGTCGCAGAGGTGGGTAAACACTGCTGTCAAGGTGTATATTTGCTTGGATGCATTTTTCTTGTCCAGCTGCCAAGAATCAGTCATTGAACTTAAAAAACCTTTTTAAACTGTGTGTTAAAACAAAAATGTATCAAAGCTTTAATACTCTATGTAGTCTGTCTAGCTCTTTTGCTATGCAATCACCACTGTATGAAAATATTATGTAATGAATAGCTTATTTTATTGTTATCATTAAATATTGATTTCTTTTTCCATAATTAATCATAACGTCCAACTAAAATCAAGAAATGTGGAGTGTTTTATCATTTAGGCCAGTCAAATCCTTCAAAACAGGATTTGTTTTTTCTATTAACCCTCAGAGACCCATGGGGATGTCTGCGTCCTCATCCGACATTGCTGTTTTTCAGAGGCTGTAGCGGGCTCAGTTTTAAAGCAAGTGAATGTAATGCTGTTATATGAAACTAGAAGATCTAAGGCATCCTTTGGTACCGACTATGGTGCTTGTCAGGAAGGGGGTTAGATCATGCTCCAAAGTTAGGCTCAGTTTTGGCTGGGGAAAACTAGCATGGCTATTTTCAAAAGGGTCGCTTGACTTCTCACCTCAAGGTCTCTTAATGAAGATAGATACCCGTGAGTCTCTCTTATGCAGACATGCTCACTTTATCCCAATCCCATACAGCTTTTGCCTGCAGTATATTTGTGTTATTGCCACCTATTCTAAAAATGGTCTATTTGAATATTTCTGCTTACTTTGTTCCCTACATAGTATTGTATAAATTAAGTATGTCTGGAAAGCAGAGATTCTTGTTGATTCAATGAGCCCATTTGTGATGAGGTTATTCCCCATAGTAGCCACTCCATCGTAGTGAGACCACTTTTTGAAACTGTGACCTCTAGAATAATCACAGCCTTGTGTAACCACAAACTAGACACCTAGGGCATTCAGATGATGTATTGCTCTCATAGGTATATTGACAATAAGGGGGTTTCTGAGATATACTTTAATTTTTTAATGGTGTTCCTGAAGGTCTTGGTGTTTCACTGTGGGATCTTAGACCATTTTAATCAATTCTTGCGTGGTCAGAAATGGTACAATTTTGCAGCAAATCTGTGTAACAAATGGTATCAACCCAGTGTTTGCTGCAACAATGGCTATGACCATCATATCATATCATAATATTCTAAGCCCTTATACACTGTAAAGTTTCCAAATTTGAATAGGCGCCTAACCACAACAACAATATTTATTACAGATTTATAATTAGAATAAATTGACACACACTGCTGAGCTGCATCTCAAATTAATCTCCGAGCTTTCAGATGATGTATACCACTTCTGTGCTGTTGACCTGCAATCTCCCTCTGAACATCCCCTACCCCTCCTAAAAAAGACAGAAATGGGTCTATGACACATAAAAACACAATTAGGACAAACTTAAATACTATTTTTTTCCCCTCAATTTTTTATCTTTATGTAATATGTTTGGTTACGAATAAAAACAACATTATGTGACCTCAACAAATTAACGTCGTCTTAGTGAATATGCACCACTAATGGGTATTAGTTTTCTTCTCCATCCAGAGGTTGACGGCCAGCACGGGCAGCAAACAGAGGAGCCGTCTGTCCGTTATGGCTCAATATCTCTGCACAGTCCGCAACTGCTTCACCATCCCTGGACGGGCCTTCGTCCCTAAACCAGAGGTAAGATTTCACTTTTTTGAAAATACTAAAATTAACCACATCAAAGAAGAAAAGCAATCAGGCAGTGTGTTAAGGCGTGTTTGAAAAAAGTACACGTGTACTCTCTCTCTGGGTGTTATTGAAATAGGATTTCTAATTTTCAGAACACAATTAGCAAAATGATGCTATGTTATGAGAGTCGAATGTTGATTTCAACCTTAAGAGCCAGTGCTGAAATAGCGGCAGATGGGCGCATTACTATTTCACAGTTCTAACCCTATTGTAGGATAACAGCGGGATCTCCTCTCATCTTCTAATCTCTGCTCCTCTTCTGGTCCCATCTGAGTCCCTCATCATGTCACCATCACTCATCCCTCCCTCACTCTTCTTGCTTTAAGGCTTCATTAAGACTGTGTTGAATCAGTGTTGTCTCTGTTCTGTCTTTGGACCCTTTCTGGGTTGTAATGATGCCTGGTGGGTATTTGAGATGTGGCGCGATCACACTGCGCCTTGTAATGAGGGCCTAGTTCTTTTTTAGGACCAATTTCTCTCTCTCTCTCTGCGTCTTTCAGCTCATGCGCGTGTATCAGTGGCGAAAGAAAGACATTTACTCTTACATAACATGAGAATGCCAGGATTTTTCTTTTTTTTTCAGGGTATGGATTTATAGTAGGACTAGGGGGCACACATTAAAAAAATAAAAGTACTGCTGCAAAATGTGAAATATCAGTGTTGTCTAATAGACAGCTATGTGTTGAGATTTCAGACACACAACTCTTTTGACAGACTCATGAGCTCTCTTACATCTTTGTACAAATGAAACCGTGTTTTTCTTTTCCTAAATTAAACGATAGGTGTTAGGCTGATGTCAGCGATGGACTATTGGTCCCTTGAAAATGTCATGGCTCTTTAGGAGACCCACTATTGGTAAATATTTAATCTCCTGCGTGGCTGAAAATGCAGCAGAGTGAATGGGACCAGTGCTGATTGTTCATTCTCTTAGAAGAAATAGCTCCCAATGATTATTTCATCACACTCAGCTGCCTTTCTGTGCATTTTTTTTTTTTTTTTTACTCCTTGGAGTTCTTTGTGTGTGTGGTTATGTCTAACTGTTAGCTTAATGGATTTCAACATGCTTGTCTGTTGCCTGAAAAAGTGCACACATCTGAGTGTGTGTTATGCATGCAGTATGCAAACGTGAACTAAGTGGACTTGCATGCTCGTGCATGCACTGCAGATGAATCCTTACCTCCCACATGCCCACACAGGCCATCTATCCCCACTAAATTCGTTTAATGGGCACTTGGTCGAACTTGCATATCATTAGGAGGAAGATGCATGGCTTGTTTGATGAGCAGGCCTCCTGCTGCTGGTGTTCCATATAAAAGAGTCAGAGAGCACATAGGCTGATATTAATGCTATCGTGGCTCTGCATTGTGGAGCCCTCTTTTTACTAGTATGCCATGTATTCATAATTCATAAAAAGCTCTATGGCTCTGCATTGTTTACTGGTGCACACACCAGAGTATTACAGTGCATGAACAATAAAAATGTCCTACCTGATTTACAGGACAACATCAAAGCCTTGTGGAGGGGGGGGGAGTTGGCTGAATATAGAGCAGCCATTTGTATATAAAGCTGCCTAATAGGATAGATAGCAGAGATTAGATAGATAGATAGATAGATAGATAGATAGATAGATAGATAGATAGAGATATATAATATATATATATATATATAATATATATATATATATATCAGAATATATATATACTATATATATAGAGATATATATAAGGAGAGATATATTAGGTAATATTAGAGATATATATATATAGAGATATATATTATATTATAGGAGAGAGACTATATAGTATATATATATTATATATATATATATATATATCTATATATAATATATAATATAGTATATATATAATATTATATATATAGTAGAACATATATATATATTTATATTAATAGTATAATACCTGCTATATATACTGCACCTAACCCTATATTAAGTATATACATATTATATATATATAGAGAGAGATAATTAAGCGACTTATATTAATATAATATATAATATAACATATATATACTAGTATATATATAATCATAATTATATATAATATAACCTATAGAGATATATATATATATTAGAGAGATACTAGTAATATTAAATATATTACATACTAATATACATACACAATAATATTAATATAAAAATATAGAGGAATACTGATATAGGGAGACAAATTGAGAATATACCGCAAATAATATACATAATATAGAGAGACTACCTATAGAAATATATATATAGAGATAGGGAGAGATAGGATAAGATCGATAGATAGATAGATAGATATACATATGTGTGTATATATAATCCGGATGCATAAAGAAGTATATAGAAAATACAGGAAGGTATTGTTATAGCATAAATGCATAAGTTCTAAAGAATACTATATTTGGTGTTCATACTGTAGACTGCTTATAGTGTTCTATTGAAAGCAGAAGGAACTTATAAAAATGATAATGGCTAAATACCCCCATTTCTAGGTAGTAGTTAATTAAAACGGGGAAGTAACACTGCCAAATATCAAAGGTCTCTCCCTCAATATCCCTCTCTTTATGTCCGTCTCTCTCGGTTACTGCAACATGCTCGTGCCTTTTCAGGGAGTCTGTGCAACTGTGACTCGTACCTATAGCCAATAAATCGGCTCAGTGGTCTCTAATTGTTGGAATTATCTTGTCTCCACTGAAGCTTTGGGATCACTGATTGTGTTAATAAAGCAACAACTGGGATTAGTTTTTGTCTGCTTTCGGCGCGTCTTTGTCGTGGTCTGAAACCTGAGGCTGTGTTCTGCTGTGAGTGAGTAAGTCATGGCTATCCTAGAACACGTCCGCTCAGTCATGTATCGATATGATATATCTGTATTCATGAATACTTCTGTAAGTGACAGGTTGGTCACCAATGGCAACTCTCCTACAAGCATAAAATAGAGAGCAGCAGGTGCAATACAACATGTATGAAAATTAGTGGAGTGTGAAAAACCTCTGATGTGGCTTTAATACTGTGTAATCAAAGAGCCAGAGAAAAACCAATGAAATGACTGAACCTTTCCGAATAACCATGATGAGCAAATAGCTTCAGCTTAAAGGCGCGGGGGGGGGGAGTGCGGGTTGATTCGTCGGTTGATTTGAACCTATAGGATCTGGCCAGTGCAGGATAATGGGATAATGAGAAAGGGAAATGTTGAATCCATTTTACATTAGCAGCTGCTGGGGCCCATATTGACGTGGGGTGGGCAGATTGGTTCTTATCCTCGCTGTTTAATCTGTCTGTCTTGTCCTTCTCGCCCCCGGACTGCACCTCTCTTGTGTCACATTGAGTGACTGTGATTGTCCTTGAAGGTTTCTGAGAACAGCGATTGGCTGCTTTGATGGTGTTCCCCCAGGCTCCGAGTGCCCTAGGTCTGTCCTGCTGCAGATCACACCTGCCTCCCTTTCCTTATTAGTCGCTCTCCTCCTGTTAATTCTCACAGTGACAGACAAATTGAGTGATTTTTAAATTGCTTCTGTCATTCACAGCTTTACAAATACCTGAAAAGGCTCTTTAAGGAAGTAAACTGAGAGTAGAAACTGCTTTCCTGCTGTTGCTTTAGCTGTTATACATATTTCTAATTTGTATTCTGGCCAGGGGTCAAGGAGTTTTAGAGTGCTCTCTTCCATCAAGAATCTGTGTCTTCAACACGGACACCCAGTCATTCAGTTTCATCTTCACAGCCTCTTTACGTAGAAAACAGCTGATTTGCTAAGATTAAAGAGTGCGTGTTGACTCCCTCGTCTCTCTTCCCCTGCCTCTCTTCCTCGACATTATAGATTAAAATCAACTTCTGTCCGTCACAGGCAGGTCTATAAGTCGTGCAATAGATGCTTCATCACAAGCAACCTGCTGTCACTTCTGTAGAGCTCCTTACAGAGCTCTGCATCTTGCTAACAATGGTGCTATTCATTAGAAGAAATTAGGCATTGAGAAGGGGTAGTGCGAGACTGGAATACTGAATAATACAGGTGAAAAAATTGTAAAAGAAAATGAGTTTGGAATGGAGGAAAAAAACAGATTGGGGATGACAATAAAAATAAAAGATGGATAGACAGGAGGCATTGGAAACTGGTGAGATACATAAATAAAGGCAAGAAAAGATGTCTGAGTCTAGGCGAATGGAAAATAAAATAAAAGCGTATAGAGTTTGGATGTGAAATGAAACAAAAGCTGGAAAAGGATGTAAAGGCAGCGTAGCTTCCTCCACACGAGTACAGAGCGCTAGACGACAGATTCATGACAGAGATCGATCTGAAGGGAGAGTGAGGCGTACCTCCAGCAGATGGTTGTCTGGGCCAGTCGTCAGCTCCGCTCTGAGTAATGGCTGCATCAGCCATCACCCACCAACTAACTGAGCCTCACAAGAGGAGAGCCCTACAGATGTTCGCCTTGTACACAGTCGCCGTCCAAGAGCACAGACCAGATGAGCAGAGTCTAAATTAAATTTGTTGATGCTGCATTGAGCATCAATTACTGCTGGCATTTGTCAGGGGGAGTTTGGACTACTGCTGTAAAAAGCCAGCAGATACAAACACACATTCATTCATCATATATTTTTAATGGGTCCTTTTTTTCAGTGGCTGAGGTGTCAGCAGCTTTTTCAAGTGTTAAAATGATAATATTCTTAGAATTCAGAGGGTGTCTCAGTGTGGAATGTGACCCACCTCAGTCCATTGTAATGCAGTGGCAGGCTCGGTGATGGATTCTGTCCCTGTGACCTGGAGTGGCCCGGCTCTCGCCTCAACAGTAAGAGTGAAAATCAACTCAGAGGGACTGCGCTGCTTTCTCACCTCCCGCCACACATTGTACCGGCAACACAATTCATCTAGGCCTATTCCTATCTCGCAAACGGGGTCAAACGCGGTATCAAGAGTATCGGGGAAAGTTATTTCAATGACTCGTGCCAGCG